TTTGCATTATTTGGCCCTGGTGAAGGCATGATTTCTGAAAAGGCCACAGCTAATTGCTGTTCTGGATACTGCATCAGAAACAAGTCAGATAAAAAAAATAACACTCTACTTAATAAAAGCACTGCTCCTGATGTAGAAATAATACAGTTGATAAGGAATACAAAATCAGGATATACCATTAAGTTAACCCAATAGAGGCAGGCTTCCAACTCTGTAGTGACTTAGTACTTGACTACACACCCCTGTAAGGGACGTGGTGGCGCTGTGGGCTAAACTGCAGAAGCCTGTGCTGCAGGGTCAGAAGACCAAGCAGTCGTAAGATCGAATCCACGCAACGGAGTGAGCTCCCGTTGCTTGTCCCAGCTCCCTCCAACCTAGCGGTTCAAAAGCATGCAAATCCAAGTAGATAAACAGGAACCACCTCGGTGGGAAGGTAACAGCGTTCTGTGTCTAAGTCGCACTGGCCATGTGACCACGGAAGATTGTCTTCGGACAAACGCTGGCTCTATGGCTTGGAAACGGGGATGAGCACCGCCCCCTGGAGTCGAACACGACTGGACAAAAATTGTCAAGGGAAACCTTTACTGTACCTTTACCTAATCCACTGAGCTATCCATTCAGCTGGAGTCATTGTACTCTGTTAAAAACAACAAACCACTGTGAATGATGCCTAAATTGTTGCTTTTCTTTAAAGAAAGTGTATTTTCCTCCGCTTTCCTTCTACGTTATACTCTATATTTTTTAAGAACTGCTTTAAAATTTGTAGAAAATAATCCTAAAGATTTGTGTAGAGAGGTTTCACCGTTGCAGTTCAGCATGCCAGTTTCAGTTTTACACAGGGAATGTAGTCCAGCAAAATAAAATTTACCATTCTGGAAACATATCAATGGCACAATTCGACACATATCTACTCAGACATAAGTTTCATTAAGATGAGCGTGATTTAACTATTTGAAAGAGTGTATCAGACTGAAATCCTAGAATGCACCTAAAACATACAAGACTTTTCCATAACATTCAAACTGGCAATTAGAAGCTGTGGTCCACAACGGTGACAAATGAAATCTATTTCTCAAGTACCACAAGACGCTTTGTTTTTTTGCTATTTTGCAATCGGCTACCACACTATCATCTTGAAATGTTAAAAGTTGTTTATTCCTCATGTGTTCCAACAGCAAGACAGGCCAAGTCCAAGTCCTTATTTAAAAAAATAAGGGGGGTAGGGTACTTAAATGTGCCAATCAACAGTGTGCACAATGAATTGAGCAGGCCCCTTATTTCCTTGGCTACAGTCTTTCCCATTGTGATTATTAGAGATATATTTCTATTAAAATGACATCAAGAACTAGGAGCAGTGATAGCAACCATAAATTTCATAAGCAACTCACACATAGCTGTATTGTGTATATAGGTAGACTTTTGAATTTCTACTGAACTATCATTATGTGATTTAGAGGTAAAAGGAATTGGTTAAATACCGATCTACATTTTGGGCTACAGCTGTCAGAATACCTCAAGCAACTTAACCAATGACCATACCGGCTGAGGGATTCTGAGACTCTAGTCCAAAAAAGTGACTTTCCTAAACTCTGTTTAAATTAGGGCTTAGAGCAGATCCCCTCAATTCAATCAAGAGGCCAGGTCAGGACTTTGGAATGGATTGTGATTCAGTCCCAACCAATTTGTGCACTGGATCTGAATCAGTTTGTACAGCCTTACTGTGACTTGCATTGGAAACCCAATACAGCTAAAACCATTTTTGTTTTTGCACTGATACACATGGACTTTGGAGACATGATAAGCTAAAGGGTGGGGGGGGGGTGAACCTGCCTAATTTCAGACAGCTAGCTTCACAGGTTTGCATAGAAGATCTATTTAAAGAAAAAGCATCCAGAGTAATTTGTGTCCAGTCTGACTTGATTTGTACTCCAAACTCAAATCAATGTTTAAATTTCCTTTCCTTCACTCTCGAACTGAATCTGGGCATCCCAGTCTTTCCTACTGTGATTATTAGGGATCTATTTCTATGAAAAGAGAAAATGTAGGTCTATAAATATAAAGCTGGATAGTAAAGAAAATTGACAAGAAAAATAGACTGATTCATTTGAAATATGGTGCTGGAGGAGAGCTTTGCAGGTATTTTGGACTGCCAGAAAGATGAACAAGTGGACCCTAGGGCAGATCAAACCTAAACTATCTCTGGAGGCACAAATTGTTGAAACTGAGGTTGCCCTACTTTGGGCACATCATGAGAAGACAGGGTTCTCTGGAAAAGACAATAATTCTGGGAAAAGATGACTGCAGCAGGAAAAGAGGAAGACCAAATGTAAGATTGACTGACATCTTAAAGGAATCACAGGCTTGAGTCTGCAAGATCTGAGCAGGGCTGTTGAGGACATGACATTTGAAGGTTGCTCGTTCATAGAGTCACCATAAGCCATAGCCAGAACAACAACAAATAAAAATCAGTTTATCAAATCTCCTGTAACTTGACAGACCAGAACAATAACAAATAAAAATCAGTTTATCAAATCTCCTTCTTTGTTTGCAAAAAGATGAGACTGCACCATCACCTCCATCCCAGATTTAGAGACCCCCATCACATTTTAACGAAGTAGTCAGGAAAGCAACAGGCTTCAGTTTTGTCCTCCTCAGCCATTTCCCCAACAGTCCCACAATCAGGGAATATCTAGTTCTTCTAGTATGCCTATATATGTATGAAGCCTTCTTCCCACCTGCCACCTAGATGCTGCAATCAGTATTGCCAGATGACCTGCTGAAGTTGAAAGGAATTGCTATATTTCCCTCAGTTTCAGCACTGGGAGACAAATCTTGGGGAAAGCAGCACTGTAGAAGGGGTAACATCTGATCTGTGTGCAAGAAAGATGGCTTTAAACCTTGTGTTCTAATCACCATTTTATGCTAGCATCAGGGTTTATTGGCTCAACAAAAACATGTTTTCTCACCACTTACTGTCTCTTCAGTTTCTTCCCCTCACTGCTAGTTTTTGTGGGGTTTTTTTTGGCACACTGGTGGTGAGGCCATTGTGGTACTTAAACTGAGGCAAGGAGCAGAGCACCATCACTGAAACTCATGGGCCTTCTTGTTGTACAAACCCTTATGGCAGTAGCATAAAGCCTGAGCAAAAAAAAACCTTTTATCTCCCAAACATTACCTGCCCCACCCCCATGATAGGAAGCAAGTCCACCCTCTGCTCCCAGGTTTTGGGCCAGTAATCTCAGAGAATGTGGGTACTATTGATAGCTGTGAGAAGCTAGAAACAGACATAACTTGTAATTAGAACTGAAACACTGCAGAAAAGTCATTGAGATAGTCCTTCTGTGTTTGCAAGTCAGACTTCAAAGGAATCCCATGTTTAAGTCCTGAAGACCAATCACCAAACAAAGGAAACCAAACTGCATAATCCTGGTGGTGAGAGAAGTTGTGCTGTGAAACTCAGATACTAGTGTTCATTAAGGATTTCTTTTTTCCAGCCATATGCTGTATCTAACATCTGTTTCTGGGCCCAGAGTGGTAATAAAATCTATTGCTCCCTATGTGAGATCTTTCTTGTCTAGAATGCTAGAGTACCAGACACTTGCCAGGGAGTGTAAGAAACCATAATTGCTACTGCCAACAGAGTTCTTGGTGTCAGGAATTTTGGGAAATGCAGTTCTCCATGATACTAGAGCCCACAGTACGGTGAAACTCCAGAGGACTATGCTCACCAAGTCCTGTGATGTTTTTGAATTGCCAGAGAGGGAAAAAGAGAGGGAGAGAGAAAAAGATAGTTCAAATCAGGATCTCTAGTAATCTTGATGACGTTCTGCTGCCACCAAGTATAGTATTTGGAGGAGAAAAAGGGCCAGTGAGACAGAACTGGCAGGGCAAATCCCAGCATGAAGCAGACTTGAACTCAGAAGTACATGGACTTGCTTTAAGGTGAGGTTCTACTTTGCTTCCATTAATGCTAAGAATCAGTACAAAACATTACCTTAGGCCAATACTTACCAACGTTGGGTTCCCACATGTTCATGGATTACAATTTGGCCAGCGCAACTAGTGGTGAAGGCTGCTGGGAGTTTTAGTTCAAGAAAATCTGGGGACTCAAGGTTGGGAGCCATTGCCTTAGACCACCAGACCGCTTGTGTTAGTCTTGCAAATGCCAGTCCTTTCACCCACAATATTCATATATCATTCAGCAAGAGAAAAAAAAGTTGGTGCTACACCACCCAAACAGACAAACTTGGATAAGCAGCAACTGACATCTTCAATTTAAAAACAGATACCGTAGCTCCAGATTTCTATATTCAACTCACAATTGTCTATCCCTGAGGCAAATCTGTCGAATTCCAGACACCATGAACCACATCCTTTAACCTTGTTTAGCATTTAAGATCCACTGACAAGTACAGTACATAAGAAAGTGAAGGCAAGACAAATTTCTTCATGATCCCAGTGATGAGTTTGTAAGTACTCTCTTTCCTAAGATGAAAATTATTTATAGTGACAATTTAGCATGGTAACATTTACAAGGGAAATGTTATCCCTTATATACAAGTGATGCTCTCTCATTATTGGCAGTTACTGAGGGAAATGGCCATTAAAGACTCTTGCACAAGGCATAACTATTAATATGGATTAGTGATAGACACATTTGCATTCTGACTTACAGCCAGTGTGTATGATTTGGACTCAGATTTTGGTAAAAACACCAGGTGCACTGAACTGGTTGACATTTTAAAGTGTGCAATCAACTTGCATTCTATAATATATCTTAGCCCTAACAGTGATTTTTCTTTTAAAAAATCAATTTGTGTTCTGATTAAAAGTAAGTGTGTCTGTGTGTCTGTGTGTCTGTGTCTCTCTCTCTCGCTCTCTCTCTCTCTGTGTGTGTGTGTGTGTGTGTGTGTGTGTGTGTGTGTGTGTGTTAACCCCATTTAGAATTGGTCATAAAGCTCCTCTTCTTTCAATAAGCAGCAATTTTAATCTGCCTACAGAAATTAATGAGACCATCATCTGTACCAAGGACCTGATTGAAGTAGAAATCCCAAGTACCTTTTTCCTATCAAAGAATCCTCCAATATTAGTACGTTCTCTGCATTTATTGATTGATTGATTGATTGATTGATTGATTGATACTAACTAACTAACTAACTAACTAACTAACTAACTAACTAACTGATCTCTGGGGGACTTGAGTTGTAGTAGATTGAAAAGATATCCCAAACCCATTTTATAGCAGCAGCAACAAACTGACTTCACTCCCAAAATTATCCTGTTGGAATAAAGAAACAGTGGGTAATCAGGAGTAGATTTTTTAGGTGGGAAAACTGAGAGTATCATTCACTTCTGATACTCAACAGAAACCAAAGAACTCAGAATTCATTAATGCTAAGCACATATCATGTGCACCAACTACTGTACTTGTTTATTTTTGGGAAACCAGAAAGAAAAGTTTTAGGCATACATTTCATGTAATCCAACTACATAACATCCATTTAGAGTAAAGTTAATCTAAGAAAAGAAGATACACCAAGGAAATGGGATGTAACATCAACACTGACTTCCCAAAATTTAAAAATTTACTAGAGTACACTCATTTGATTCAGTTACTCCATGGGCCTTAATTTTTTTAATTGTCTGTATGAGGACCACTGACTAATTTGGGGATGGCACTTAGTATTATAATGGTAACTAATTATGTTTCAAAATAAGCTTCCAAGATCTGATTTCAAGTGAAACATAAGGTTTAATGATCCAGGTTATAATGGCTGACATCATCTTAGCGTAACTTTATGCTGATCCCCCCTTCATCATCCTCAAACTCTCAAAGGCCTCCCCAGGTGGAAAGAGAGCCCTAAGAAAAACATGATGGCAGGAATAGGAAGCTTTGAATTCAATTCAGTTCAATATTACTGTCACAGGATGATGATGTCAATGTACTTGCCAGGCATAAAGCTGTGCAAGAAAATTTCAGCCATTGAACAGGTTGTGCAAGATGATGCAAACTATTTCATTAAAAAACAGTAAAGCAATGTGTTTCTCTATAGATCTCTGATTTGCACCTTAACGACCCAGAATGCCATGGCAGCATAGTTGACAACCTCTACGTGTTCAGCATTAAGACTAACTTCACAAACTGTGGAACGAGAATGGTAATATGCCAAAGATCCTGCTATGATTTTAATGATTTTTCCTTTGAGTGCCACATTTATTTTCCTGTGTATTACTTATTTAGTATGTGTCCTTTGAAAAAGTGCAGGACCTGGCATGCATTCAGTTCAACTTGGAACTGAATAACCATCTATTCTTCTCTCTAACCCTCAATTTTATTGCTCTGATACTGCTTGCTGTTAGAGAGGAAGACAACTTAACACAATTAAGATGAGCATGTGTCCCATTTTACAGAGGACAACTCTTCTCTCTAACCCCCAATTTTATTGCTCTGATGCTGCTTGCTGTTAGAGAGGAAGACGACACAATTAAGGTGAGCATGTGTCCCATTTTACAGAGGACAATCCTTTTTGAAGGGCTGCCTAGTGGATACATACAGTATTTGAAATCCTCCTGTGTTCCAAGAGCAAGACAGGTGATTCAGTGATTCAGTCCCAACCAATCTGTGCACTGGATATGAACCAATTTATACAATGTGACTTGCATTGGAAACCCAATACAGCTAAAACCATTTTGTTTTTACACTGATACACATGGACTTTGGAGACATGATAAGCTAAAAGGGGGGGGGTGAACCTGCCTAATTTCAGACAGCTAGCTTCACAGGTTTGCATACGAGATCTATTAAAAGAAAAAGGATGCAGAATAATTTGTGCCCAATCTGACTTGATATGTGCTCCAGACTCAAATCAATGCTTAAATTTCCTTTCCTTCACTCTTGAAGTGAATCTGGGCATTCCACTTTGCTCTGGACCTCAGGAGGCATCAAAATGCAACCAACCAACCCCCACTCACCCAACCACCCACCCATCAACCAATCAATCAATTTAAAATGTCTTAATGAGGATGATTCTATTTCTAATGCTGGCTTCAGCCAAATCCTGCAAATAGTGGCTGAAGTGCTCCTGGATAAGTCACATTAGAGTAGGCCCTTGAAATCAGTGGGGATATGGTGAGTGAACTCGATAAGTTGCATTGATTCAAATGAATTGTGACCCACTTTAAAGCAGTAATTTCCACTAGAGGAGGCCCATTTGAATCAATGGAATTCATGGAGGAGTTCACTCTGATCAAATGGGCCTGGTATCATGTGACTTACTACACTATGCAACAGGAGTTCAGTGTAAGTTTAAACATCATAAGCTAGTTGAAACTTTACTTTTGCCATTCATCTAAATCCTCCTGTTCCCTCATAATATGTCTCCGGCAGTAATTTCCACTAGAGGAGGTCCATTTGAATCAATGGAATTCATGGAGGAGTTCACTCTGATAAAATGGGCCTGGTATCATGTGACTTACTACACTATGCAACAGGAGTTCAGTGTAAGTTTAAACATCATAAGCTAGTTGAAACTTTACTTTTGCCATTCATCTAAATCCTCCTGTTCCCTCATAATATGTCTCCACTGAAGCCTAGGCATGCTGAAATATGTGAAGTACGAGATTGTTTCTGCAGATGTGCAAAGGGCACCTTCTCAGCTTGTCATCACACACATCTAGAGGTTAAGGATACTGTTAGCCTGCAGAGACTTCTGTTTTCTTTCCTACTTAAAAGGCTGGTACCCAGAGGATCACCCTAGCATTACTTAGTAGTCCTACCAGAATATTACTCTTTGTGAGATGCACAGCTTGTCATCACACACATCTAGAGGTTAAGGATACTGTTAGCCTGCAGAGACTTCTGTTTTCTTTCCTACTTAAAAGGCTAGTACCCAGAGGATCAACCTAGCATTACTTAGTGGTCCTACCAGAATATTACTCTCCCACACTGTTTATGAATAGTTTCAGCTTGCCAATATATTCATTCTTCTTCCAAGGAGCTCTCTAAGTCCTGCCCCCAAAGAATATGCTGCTCCCATCACAGGTATGCTCTGAAATGGCATCCTTTCTTATTTGAACTTGTGAGACTCATTCCTGCATTCTGCAAGGCCTGAGATTCCACTCCATTGTCTCTTAGCAAGACTGAGAACTTGGAAATACTCCATTACCTCTCAGGGAGCATGGGTAGTGCCCATGCTAGATAAAGGATGTTGACAGTTTTAATTTAAAACAAAACAAAACAAAAAACAAAAACTTTCCCCAACTCTGACAAGGCAAAGTCTTCTTCTAGAGCAGTGGTTCTGAACCTGGGGTCCCCAGATGTTCTTGGAGTAAAACTCCCAGAAGCCTTCACCATTAGCTGTGCTGACTAAGATTTCTGGGAGTTATAGTCCAATAACATCTGGGGACCCAAGGTTGGGAACCACTGGTCTAGTGCAAGGGTGAGCAACTGTGGCTTTCCAGATGTTTTGCAGCTGCAACTCCCATAATTTCTCACTATTGCTATGACTGGCTTGTGGCTAGCTAGAGCTGAGAGGAATTATAAATGAAATATCTGGAAGGCTACAGTGAAACAGTTAAATTTCTAAGTTCCAAAAGGCAAATACTCTTCAGTTCCTATTGCCATCGTATGACTGTTCTGCTGCCAAAGTGGAGAACTCAGACTTGTACAGCTGGTCTGATTTGTTGTGCTCTTCCAGGATTCAGATGGTGCCCATATTATTTTCATCAACACCATACAGAACAATTTTTCTGATGTAATCACAAGGGCTTTCGTCAATATCACATTTGCCTGCCGATATCCTATTAATTACATGGTACAGCAGCCTAATGGAGAAAATAAAATCAGTGTTGATATCAGGTAAGTCTATTCGTGTGATTCTCAATGTCAGTTGAGTATAGTCCCTTGAGAAGCACCTGTACAGGATTGGCTAGAGCTGGGGTGGGCATTTAATTTCTATAGGGGGTCACATGAGAAATCTGAACTTTGTTCGGGGGCTGAACCACTTTACTTAAAAATAGGCCCCCAATTTGTGGGTAGTAATAGGCCCCCATTGGGTGAGGCCCTGCAGTGAACGAACTTCGAGGCTGACACAGTTAACTCCCTAAACTTTTTTAGGACTGGGGCGATCACCGGCGGGCCAGACAGGAGTGGCTTGTGGGCCATATGTGGCCCACGGGCCACACTTTGCCCAGGTGTGGGCTAGAGCATTGCAGTAAGGATGTAACATAATTTTTGCAGATAGGAAGCATTGCTTTTTAAGACTACAAGTCACAGAAATGTATTTATTTACCTATTTATTTTTATTTATTTTATTTGTACCCCACCTATCTGGTCATTGCGACCACTCTAGGCGGCTTCCAGACAAAGATTAGTTTCTGACAGCTGTCATCCAGAAATCAACTTCTTTAGTAATGCTGGAGTGTCTTCACTGCTCCTGTTAGAAGAACTGACCTACTTTGCATGTGCATTTTCATCTCATTTTTCCTGCTTCAGTTTCTGTGTTTAAGGGGGAGAAAACCATAGAGTGAAGCTGAGCAAAGTTCCACTGACTGATTTTTCTTCCTCTTCTGCTGCTATCTAAGGCACAATAACTTTGGCAGAAAAAAGTGGGGGCTCATCATCTGGATGAGGGAAGGACTTCAGTTCCCATCAGTTCCCTTCTCAGTGTGGTCAGTGGTGAAAAATGATGCAATTAGTAGTTCATAAACACCTGGAAGGCTATAGGTTCTCCTTCCAACCTGATCCTAAATCTTTATCTATGACATTGCCCATCAACATTGCAAGACATTGGTATAGTAGCTTATATGTACCACACCTACATTTCAGCAATAAATAATCAGAGTTTGGAAAGTTACTTTTTAATAGTAATTCCTTGCCATTACTTGTTATACTTCTTAAATCTCATATTTTTGCCACCCACTCCCGGTTTATTCACACCTCCCTTAGAGAAGTAAATATCCCAGGTTAGGAGCCAGACGTCATGCTAATTGTTCTATTTCCACAGTTTTGTTTATACCATCTGTACAACTCCATCTCTTTGCTCAACAGGACCATTACGCTCAACACTGAAGATGGGAACTTCTCTGTGTCTATGATGTTGTACAAGGACCAACATTTTGAACACATGTGGACTACAGTTCCATTACTGACTCTAGAAGACAACATATTTGTCAAAGTTGAAATGGTACCTGACGGGTTTCTTGAGTCTCTGACAAATGTGGGAGAGTAGAGGTGGCAAAGAAAAGGTGGTTTTGCCCTACCACATCTTGCCTAGGCCAAGAGGCATAAGAAGAAAAGCAAATTAGAATATTTTGAAAATGTGTCTATATTATATTCCTATCCATTTATTTGGAGGAATATAGGAAATGAATTTCCTATTAGAAATTATGTCAGAGGTGTCTTGCCTTTGGGTTACTGAGATGAGCTCTGTAGCAAAACAGAATTAGGATTAAGAACCAATATATTGGTCCAAGAATCTACATTCAGCTGTAAGCCTCAATTTTACTGTTCTGTCTGTTTTCAAAGAATGGTAAACTGCATCTACTTTATAGCTAGAAAGGGTTGCCATATGTCAGAACTGACTATAAACTGCATCTAAGTACTTTATAGCTAGAAAGGGTTGCTATATGTCAGAACTGACTTGATGGTTTGCAATTATTTATTAGTCCACTGAGGTTTGCTTACTATAAATAAAATATGTAAGTAAGGAAGAGGAAAAACTCCATCTCAAAACAGGATGTGCACAACACTGGCAGATGCTCATCCATATGTATAAAGACAAATTTAGAAATGCCATTTGATAGAATTACAACACATCTTAGATGTTTGAAAAAGAGAGAAACTGTGTTGCCTGCTCAGTGTATTTGGCCACTGATGGCCCCTGTTTTGCTTTATTTCATCTTCAAACCAGACCTGAACTGGACAACTCATCCACCAGAACAAGAGGAGAAAAGTTGTAGCCCTCCAGATGTTGTTGAACTACAGTTCCCATAACCACATACCTTGGGGCATTGTGGCTATGGTGTTGGGAGCTCTAAGTCAAAAACATCCAGAGAGCAACAACCTCTGAAACAGGATATGTCTTCAAACAGAGGACTGCTCTGGCTGAAACAGAATACATGTCACACCCTATAAGCACGTTGAGAAGGTGACAACTACCTTCCATTGCTTGCCCAAAGCATATGGTACTTGGAGTTTCTGATTAGCTATCATGTAGAGTATTATAGATGCAGCTCTTCCCTATAAGTTCTTATTTATGCTGTTTGTTTGTGTTTTGGGCAGGTTCCAGGTAACTTCATCATGAGACTTGAAAACTGTTGGTCTACCCCAACCAAGGATCCTGTTCATGCTGTGCAGTATTCTTTTATTAAGGAAAGGTTGGTTCCCCTATTACTGTAATCTGGGTGAGAAAATATATTGAGCTCTGGTGGAAGGTGACATAAACCTCACCAAATAGAAAAGGCATAGTAATCATCATCTAATCTGCATGTGATTTAAAATTTAATATCATTTCCCCTCTTCCTCTTCCTTGTTTGCGTCATAAGGCTGCTGAGAGATGGTAAGGAGAGGTTGTTAAACAATGGGTAATTTGATGCTGGCATAACACAGATTGGCTTCTGGAAACATTTAATTTAAACCCATGGCAAGTGTCCTGTCTCTCCTTCCAGTTCCAGGACTCCCAAGGGCTCCCTTTCACCCCAAGGAAGTTTTTAGGAGCCTCAGGATGGGGAAAGTAGCCTTCAGTAGTAAAAACTGGCACTAGACTGCTGGCTGCAATCACAATCTGAGCATTGGCAATCTGGCAATGATTTTTGACGATTAAAGGCTTCCCTACCCCTGCATCCTGAGGTTCCTGAAGGCTTCCCCAGAGCAAAAGGGAGTCCTCAAGTGTCTTGGAACCTGATGTAAGAGGGACAGGAAATTTTTTCATGAGTTTAAATGAAATGTTTCTGGTGCTTGACCTGGGTTATGGTGCCATAAAGTTATACAATAGGAGTTTGATGAATTGTAAGCCACACCTTTGAGACATGAATGCATGTCTAGCTAATATCATAATGTATAACTGTAAGCTTATATCATTTAACTTATGGGGCTCTCAATGTGAATCCTGATAACCGCTTAAGCAATAGTCTTATTGAGGCATTGTTGTATCCCAAGTTATTAACATGGTTAGCAGAGAGCATCTAGGCCTGCACCTCCTATCATTGCTTTTTCCACACAAGCAGCAATGAGTCTGAAGAGGAGAGGTTCCTGCTCTGGAGACAGGTCAGAAGTCTGAAAAGCAGTTCTTTTTTGTGTGGACAGCCTTGCTGGGATAAAATGATGATGGAAGGGATGGTCCCCCTCTGAGTCAGTTGATGATACTGGATATAAAAGGGCTAATCAGCTGTGCCACTCTCAGTATCATCCCTACCTCGTTGCTGAAAATACTAGAACCTGTCATGAGGTAAGTTATGATGACATCAGCCAAAAGGCTACTTTCATGAAGGATACAGAGTTAAATTCATATGCTTAGTAACCATTTTGTCATCTGTGAGTAGAACCTTCTCTATGGACATGTCAATTTGTTATGCATGAATAAAGTTGTTTGTATAGGGAGTTTCCAGTAGCTTGATTCCTTGGCTGCAGTTTGAAATGGTACAAATCAAAGTTAGTCTATCATCTCATCAAAATTAGAAGTTCTGTTCATCAGTATACACTAATGTATATGCTAATATGCTAATGTAGAGTATTCTACAGGGATATGCACGGGGAAAAGGAAAGGTTTGGGTTGCATTTGTTTCAGGTTCTTTCAGGAGATGTCTAATTATTTTTTCTGTCATTAAGGTACTGGACTTTTTGCAAAGCACAAAATGGATGGGTTCTTTCATATTATTTCATTTCCCCCCTCATTCTTGTTATAAGCGGTAAACCAAATAAAGTCCTATAGAACTTTCAAAACTACTTGAAAAACTTCCCAGGGACAAGGCAACAGGCAATTATTTATTCCAAACACAACAAAAACAGTAGTGAAAAAGAAAATCAGTCATCATCAGACCTATGAAGCTACTAATCATACTTCAAAATTCAGATTATCACATTACCAGTCAGGAAACGGTACAGATAACAGAAATTATCAGCATGATAATCATAATTAGACATATGTAGGGCAGCAGAACTGTTCGCCATCATTGTCATCATCAGTTCAATGTTATAATGAAAGATCATGTCAGGCTGTTGCCAGTGTCTAGTGCCAACCACACCAACAAGTTGTTCTCAGATCACATTATTAGTCTCGAAGTGCAAGAGAGGGTGATGACTGGGCTCAGAGATGGGTAAAGTGAGAGGAACTCCAAATGAAATGAGAAATATTTGGGTTCCTCTCCTTTGTTAAACCGGAAATCAAAAGCTCTCTAGGAAATAAATGAAATAATCAAAAAAATGAAAGAGAAAACCTCTGTTGTGTTGTTTTTCATTTGTTACAAGGCAAAGGTCTCATCTTTAATTACCCCATAAAGCAGTGGTCAGGGAACAGGGGTAAATTACCCCAAATGGGGTAAAAATGAAAAACCTGGGGGTAAGAAGGATGAGCAGAGCCACAATATTGATGCTCCCATATCCAAGATGAAGCGACATCATTTCTCCAAAACCTTAAGTTTTAAAGCAAGTTGAAGCCTTCAAAGTAATTTTGAATAGATTCAATAAGATTTCAAATTCAAATAACGTATGATTTCCTTCCTTTCAAATCAAGGGGGTAATGTCGGCGTGTATAAATTTTTTTGGGGGGGGAAAGGTACAAAAGTTCCCTGACTCCTGCCATAAAGCAAGGAGGGGGAGCATATGGATCTCTAAATACTGCTGGACTACAATTTCCATTATCTTTGTTGTGTTTGATAGCCAAGGATAATGGGAAATGTGATCCAGTAACCTCTGGAGGGTCACAAGCCATTCCCAATGCCTGTCATAAGGGACAAAGTCTTGTAGTAAACAGGAGCATGAAACTATCTAGCAGCCCACTTTGAGCTGAGGTGCAAGGGAGAGCGGCACAGCAGAGCATTCACTCACTCGTGAAAACCCAGATCGGCCTGATATCCAATAGTAACATTTGGATAATCAGCTTTTTACAAAACAGATGATGACACTTTAATTTGTTATCAGAGAAAGATTGGGAAAGATGTAGAATCCCTCTTATGTGTTGTTTATCTATTTGAAGAAGCGCCTGCTTTCAGTGGAATCATATTTTTGTTTTTGTCTTCCCACACAGTTGCCCAGAAACTGTAAAAGATGAAACCCTCTCTGTAATAACCAACGGAGAAAGGGAAGAGGCAACGTTTAGGATCCAAATGTTCAAATTTGTTGGCATCTCATTGAACCATGTTTTCTTGCACTGCACTGTTCAGATTTGTCACAATACAGCTGCTGCTTGCAAACCGGTAAGTTGATACACAGAGGGAAACATAACACATAACTTTAAATTACCTGTTCGGTTTGGTTTGGTTTGGTATGGTATGCTCCTCTGCCATCAGAATGTTACCACATCGTTTCTTCCTCACCAAAGAGCTGTGGGGGGCAGGGCAGGGTGGAAAAGAGGGAGAGATCCCTTCCAGTCCAATTGTACCATGTATAGTAGATAGTCTCCAACCTCTTTCCGTTCCATCTTGCATGGCAGCTGCCAACATGTTCTACAAATACGAGTGCACTTTTGTCCACAGCATCTCCCGGTATTTCTTGGTTTATGTGGACATCCCTTTGTCTCCCTATTCTTCTCACTAGGACCTTGGAAAGCTGCTTTTGGTGCTACTTCTGGCAAAATATCCACTTATAAATTCCCTCTTGAGAATTAGTAATACTGGTCCTGGATACAATAAAGAAAAGAAAGAAAAATCAAGATTGGGGTGGGAAAAATAGAAGAACAAAGGTTGCTAGAAAAAGAGAGAGAATTCCACAAACCAAAACATAACATCCTATAGCTATGATAACCCTAAGCCCCCATGTGGTATAATTAGCAGATTATGAATGGGACAAACTAAACATGGAAGTGAAAAATAACTTTGTAAAAACTAATATGGGCCTGTGCTTTGCTGAAACCGTTGAGCTTCTGCAGCAGCCAAAAACCAACAGTTTCTGGTGGAAAATATTTTGCAGGATGAGGTCTTCCTGACACTTGAGTTCAAGTTTTACTTAAAAAACAAGCTCCCATCTGTGGGTATATAACAAACAGAGAGCAGCCTAGAGTAAACAGATCTGATCTGCACAGAAAACGGCTGATAAACCATGGAGTAGAAGTGTGTGTATGGAAGTAGCAGATAAGCTAGAATAATACTTTTTGTTACTTTCTTTGTTCAATCCAATATGACCCTTTGATGTCACCCATGTCTGACTGGTTTTCCATCTACAACCTGCATAACAAATACTTCATTTCTCATTCTTCAAATTATGGTGCTTGTGTATTGGGTTCCCAATCAATGGCTCTGCAGAGGTTTTGGACTTTTAACTCTCAGATACCCTGGTCAGCATGGCTAATAGTCAGCAATTCTGGGAGTTGAGGTCCAAAACATCTGCAGGGCTAAACTTAATAACTATGATCCTAGTGAATGACTCTCAAAAGACATTATGTCTCAGCTTCGTTTTGCTTCATGTCATCTTAAGCACAATAGGAGTCACTTCATGTAGATGAGTAAGCAACTTATAAACATGGATATGCGGCTTGTAGATGAAATGAAGCCAGCAGCACTCTGCTCCCAAATCTGCCAATCAGAATTGAAGTGCGTTCCCTTCAGCTTGTTGACACTTCTTTCTTTCTCTGACCAAACCAAGACAATTTAACACAATCATTGAGAGATTAAAACCAAGGTGTTGGGGATGCTTCAGTAGGGTGATAATTCATGGATGACCTTTCAGGAAAGCAAAAGGAGAGAGTGCAGAAGAAGTTCTGTCTTTCTTTTTTGCCAGAACACAAGGAACTGTAGTGTGCCATATGGGGCTTCTTCTAGTTCTGTCCTTAAAAGCTTGTGACGGAGCAAAGAATTACAGGAGATGATCTGGGGCTGCACAGAGAAAAGTGTGAATGTTGGAGCTAGGAAGAATTATTTGCCTAGACTACATCTCTGGCATTCCCTCCAGCTAGCATGGCCAGTAATCATACTAGCTGCAGGGATTCTCAGTAATGAATCCCCCAAAAGTAACTTTACCCAGGCTCTGGCAAATATATAGTGTTTCTGAATCATCGCATCATTTCAAAAACACAATATAATGTCAAAGGAAAAAAAATCCGAAATACTGTAGTACTTAATGCTGGTGGCAGTTTAACTAGGTGGCCTTTACTGGCAACCAGCTAGTGAATTATCTTGGGAACAGTTAAGCCTTTTGAACGGATGCAGTCTAATATTCTGTTCCTTAAAACTCTTGTTTGGATTGGACTCAAGGTCTATTAGGAGGTGAATGAATACAGCAGAAGCCTCTTGTTGAGAATTTTGATTATAACGTGTATTCTCATAACATCAGCAGAGCAAGGAGATATTGGTTAGCAGAGATACTTATGACACTATGACATTGAGAGAGTAAAATCAACAACTTAGTCTATTTACATATATACATAGAGAATAGACATTCCTCTGGCAGCATGACATGACATGAAGCAACACACAGCATAGGAAAAAGTGATCTGACTTTCAGCAGATAAAGACATTCATTTTACACATAACTTAGGTACAGTTTTGGGATCAATCAGAAAATACATTACTTCACTTTCTTTTACACCAAGTTTTATTATGTACACAGCTGTACGACATTAAATCTTAATCCTTGATGTTGTTGTTGTTTAGTCGTTAAGTCGTGTCTGACTCTGGGAGGCAGTGGAGGACAGAAGGGCCTAGCATGATCCATGGGGTCATGGACCATGCTAGGCTCTTCTGTCTTCCACTGCCTCCCAGAGTTTGGTAAAATTCATGTTGGTAGCTTCAGTGACACTGTCCATCCATCTCGTCCTCAGTCGTTCCCTTCTCCTCTTGCCTTCACACTTTCCCAACATTAGGGTCTTTTCCAGGGAGTCTTCTCTTCTCATGAGATGGCCAAAGTATTGTTGCCTCAGCTTCAGCTTCAGGATCTGTCCTTCCATTAATCCTTAAAACCCACACTTGAATACAATCAGTACAGTGACTCAGGTAAAATAAGCCATTTTACATTTAACTATACAACATTAATATTTAATACATGTTCATATCAAAATCTCAAATCTCTCTATCCCTATGGACTGTTTTAGAAAACAAGTGTTTCTACCTTAATTGGATTTGCAGTTGTGGTGAAAAAGCTTTAGAGATGGAATTACCGGCATTGTTTTGTATGGAAAATGTCACCAGACTAAGCAATTGCAGAATGAAATCGGGAGTCAGTGTGACATTTAGGAAGGAGATTGTTTTAAAAGCCATGATTAACTTTAGATGGGTTATAAAACTGTTCAAGACAATGTGATAAACAATAGCAGGGCATCTCCAAGCATTTGTTTTATGCAGGCAAGCTTGATCACTTTGAAGAAAGAGTCCACAGTGTAGAAAGAGAACTTTCTCTATGGGAGTAATGATTCCACAACGGTGAGTCATGTCTCAAAAGTGGATCATAATGCATTTTGTGGCTTGGCTGCTCTAGCATCTTTGCTTACTTGTTCAGAACAGAGATGCATAAAAGACTAGGGGACATGACATCTCAATTTGTTGTGTGGAAGGAAAAGAAGCATTGGGCTACTTTTATTGATTTCTATACTGTTGAGCAGTATTTCTTTTTCTCCGTTACACTTTCTCCCTTCTTCCCTGCACACAGATATGCATACTCATACAACATCCCTCAGTTATACCTTTTCTCATTCCCTTGCTGTCCATATTTGGTGAAGGTACTGGTTGCAACAAAATGAGGGATTAAACATTCATTTCCATGGTCCTGCACATAATGTGCTGAGAAACTTCAGGGCTGAACATTGATCTGTGCACATATCATAAGTGAAAAACTTTGCTTTGCACTCCATTCTGACTGGTGAGACAAAATACTGTAAGAACTTTTTTAATTTACCAGGTGAGATTTTACTTGTATTGTGAACTGCTGTCTTATATATGAGAATCAAATGGCATACATATGTACTAGCAACTTTGCATTTCTTCTAGAATTGTACGGGTGACGATAGCCAGAACAGAATGAAAAGAGAAGTCACACCTTTTTCTAATCACATGGTATCTTATGGACCTATAAAACGAAAGCTGGTAGATAATGAAGAGTCTAATATAAGTAAGTTGGTAACATACGCATGCTTTGAAATACAATTCCTTGATTACTGTTAGTGAACCATAACTTCTGAGACTTTACTTTCTTGCAGCACACAAACACCTGTTTGTCTTTCTGTTTGATGGCATAAGGGGTCTTGCACCAAAATTTTTCATGATGATGCTTTAGCTACTGTATTCCAGATTTTCACCCCCCAACTTCCCTTTCCCTATACTGATAATTACCAACATACCTGAATTATGCACCCTTCCCTTCATTATTGGTGTTCCCTATCCACTATGTTTTCTGGGGTGTGGGGTGAACTGGAGATGCTTATGCCCAACCCCAGCTACATGAAAAAGTTGAAATTCTTAAAGGATTTGTACACATGGTTTTCACTTTCTATCCCTGGGGATAATTAAGAATAGATTTTCAGTGTGAAATGGCCAGTTAAAGACTAAACAATAACATGGCTCTCAGCAGTTTGAAAAAACATCTGTATGTTGTATTTGAGGACACAAGTAACTTCGCTAAATCCTGAATCAGGCAGATTCATTTGGACTAATTTGGATCAGGTTAAAAATACCGTATTTTTCGCACCATAAGACGCACTTTTTCCCCACAAAATAGGGGGGTGGAAAGTCTGCGCGTCTTATGGAGCAAAGAAAACAGGTTATATTTTCCTGTTTACTTCTCCTAAAAAAATGGTGCGTCTTATGGAAACGTAGAAAAATATGGTAGATTGCATTAGTCCAAATCAGGTCTATACAGATGCTAAGAGAAGACCACACAATAGGTTCCCTAAAATGCTGTGGAACAGTACCACATGTGGAAAACAAAAGGATGGTGTGATGGAGATGAAAAAGGAAATTGGCCTTTTCTTACTGGCAGAGTTAACTAACAATTTCAGGCAAGAATCTTACCAGTACTTGTCAAACATAGTGATCTGGGCAAGAATTGTGACATCACTGAAGTTACATATTCAGTTCCCTCGTACATGTCCTCGTTCTTTCACTTTTTAGCTATTACTACCAGATCATTGATAAAACTGCAAAGTTTTAGTGGTTGTTGGTTATATTGATTAGTCTGAATGTCCTCCTCGATTGATCTGGGCAAGAATTGTGACATCACTGAAGTTACATATTCAGTTCTCTCGTACATGTCCTCATTCTTTCACTTGTCTTTAGCTATTACTACCAGATCATTGATAAAACTGCAAAGTTTTAGTGGTTGTTGGTTATATTGATTAGTCTGAATGTCCTCCTCGATTTTTGTCATGCAATTCTATCTAATCCTCCTTCTGCTGTTCTTTTTGTTTGTTTGCATCTTGATATGTTAAGTATGTTGGAAATCATCATCATCATCATCTTAGAACTGCAGAGCTGGAGGGGACCCTATGGATCATCTAGTCCAGCCCCTTTCAAGGAGGCACAGTGGGAAACTTCAAATCCTTGGCTCCATGGCCAGATACCTGAATCACTGTACCACTATCCAGCAGTTAAGGGGGAAAGGCGGAAAATGTTCAGCAGTGACATGTATTCTTCACCAACTTACCTCTCTCTCTCTTTAATACAGCCTCAATGTTGGTTGATGGAAGGTATGCTGTAGGTATAGTACATCTTGATTTCAGTAAGGCTTTTGCAAAGTTTCTCATGGTATTATTGTGGTCAAGCTAGATCATGTCACTATTAAGTGAATTTGTTGCTATTTGAGAAGCTGTATCCAAAGAGTGTTTGCCAATGGTTCCTTGTCATTCTGGATAGAAGTGCTTAATGCAATGCCACAGAGTTCTGATCTTGGCCTGGTGTTGTTCAACACTGCATAACTGACTTAGATAAGAGTCTGGAAGGGATATTAAATTTAAAATTTGAACTTTTACATTTAGGCAGGAAAAACCAGAACAAATATAGGGCAGGATAGTTGGCTACATGTAAACAGAATCTAGGAGTCTTAGCAGATCACAGGCTAAACACAACTCAACAACGTGACGCAGCAGTAAAAAAAATAAGTTAATATACTATTTGTTTGCATTAATAGAATTATAGTTTCCAAAGCAAAGGAAATACCTCTATGTTCTGCATTACCTGGTCCCACCTGATATATTGTGTTCAATTCTGGGCACCACAGTTTAAAAAGAATATTGAAAAGTTGAGCAATGTTTGGAGAAGGGAGACCAAATGATAAAGGTTTTGAATATTGAGCCCTACAAGGAACAGTTGAGGAAGTTGGGCATGTTACATTTGGTGAAAAGTAGACTGAGAGGCAATACAATAGCGATTTTCAAATATTTTAAGAACTGTAATATGGAAAATTGAACCAGCTTGTTTTCTTCCATTCCAGAGGGTGGGATCTGAAGTAATGAATTTAAATTACAGGAAAGAAAAATTCAGCTGAGCATTAAGAAGAACCTCTTAACAGTGACAGTTGTTTGACAGTGGAACAGATTGCATTGTAAGATGATGACTTCTCCAACATGGGAGGTGTTTAAATAGAGTTGGGTAACTGCCTGTCAGGAAGGTTTGGGTAGGGATTCCCGGCTTTGGCAGGGGTTGGACTCAGTGACTACTGTGGTCCCTTCCAGCTGTAGTGTTCTATGATTTTAGGACCCACCCCGGCAACTCTAGTTTGTAATCTGGGCTGGGCATGAATCTCACCTGCACTTTCTGATCACAGTTTTTGAAATAACTTTGTTGGGGTTTGGTTTTAGTTTTGTGTTTACTGTAGCTTCTGTTTCTCTTTGTTCATCTCATCAGAAAGCCTCCAAATTTCATATAAATGTATTGGGGGGGTGAGTTTTGTTAACTTTTAAGGAAAACCTTAGAACAGGTAACACAACCTCCATGGACATATTTGTCTGGAATTTCAGAGGCATAACTCTCTCTGAGGAGTCCACCATATCTCTAAATTTCATGCACATCTATGGAAAATAAAATTTAAAAATACAATCATTGCAATTTCCCAGTACAAATCAATGGGAGGTGTGTAGATTCAGATTTCAGAATTTTGATTTGGGTCTGGATCAGATTGGTTCAGAACTGGTGAGAATCAAATCAAGCCTGAATCCAAAGCTCTGAATGTTCCAACCTGACTCTTCCTTTTACATCTATAGCACTCCCATTCTTGCTTGGACAGCTTACATTATTCTCTTAATGCAAATCTGGGAGTTACTCTGAATTGTCTGCCTTTTGGAAAAGGGTGGTGCCATTCTGGCTAGATTTGCATGAGCCAATGAACATCTGAGCAGGAAATAGATGGAATGATTTAAGAGAATGTTAATAATGCCAGATATAATTATACCAGACACACCTCTCACTAACAGATGGTGCAGTTGTTAGCCTGTGTACAACATGTAAATGTAATCCAGGTTTAATGGTGCGAACAAATTTTTAAACTAGATTTGTTAATCATGTGTCCACTTTTCTATAAATTATTGTGCTTTCTTGAAGGTAAAGGGAGTCTCCCACCAATAGGAATGTTGATCCTTGGAGGAATTCTACTGGCTGCTCTGGTGATAATGGCAGTTTTGGGAAAGCTTTTGTTTCAGTCCAGAAGGATGGTCCCAGCTATGCAAGCACAGTTGATATTGTCTCATTTTCACAGTTCTGAAATAGCATGATGAATTGTTATCCAATATTAACATGAAGTGCTTGACAGCATAACAGCAACTGCATTGTATTAACATGTATTTACATGAGTTTTACATTATTTTTCTTTTCATACATCTCACAAGCCCAACAGTTAGTGCTAGTATTTGTGTCCAGCTATAACCATCACCACCTTCAAAATGCAGACCTGGAAGGGATCCTATGGATCAGCCATAATCCAGCCCGTCAAGAAGACATAAGGGAGAATCGAATTCCCAACTGCCTAAACCACATTATAAGTCAATTTTGCCAAAAGTAGGGCGAAAGAATAAATTAAAATGTGCCTAGTCTGAGGTTGTGTAGGTCCACTTTGTACATAGTGTTGAAAAACCTGTGAGGATCACACATATGTGTATTTTACTGAACTTATGCATTGCATGAAGATATGTTTTCTAGCATGAACCCTGACTGCATGCTACTCCTACAGAAATCCATCCCATGGCTCCTTTCATGGTAGCACATTCAGCCTATCTTCATTGCTTGGTTACCAACCTTGGGTCCATAGATGTTCTTAGATTAAAACTCTCAGAAGTCTTCACCATGCTATGCTGGCCAGGGTTTGGCAGTGGAAATCCAAGAACATCTGGGGACTTAAGGTTGGGAAGCACTTCCTTAAAAGATGCCATGTTGCTTGGGAAGAGATGTATCAAAAGAGGAGGAGGAGGCTGTGTTGTTCCTCCCACCTGCCCTTTACTGGTGCATCCCCAGTGTTGGAGAAATGGAGAAAAGGCAGCTGCTGCAGAGCATCCTCCCATTGCCAGAGAAAGGGAAGAGAAAGCTGCTGTGCTGCCTGTAAAAAGTGGAAGGCAAATAAATATATCTACTTGGAGTCAGAATATATAGGAAGATGAGACAATGGCAGTGATGCACTGCAGTGATAAGGGTGGTATGCATGCACACACATAAACACACCTTAGTTCACCTTAGTGCATGACAAGGAATACAAATGACAACTTGTTAACTAGTGGCAATTCACCATGGTGATTTATGACAGATTGTGCTGCTGCCAGTGTAAACAACAAGATTCTGGCCACAGAAAATTAAACGTTGAAGGTAATCTAGTCTACCATTTCAACAATGCAGGAAATCTATTGCTACAGTATCTCCAATAGGTGATTGTGTGGGTTTGTCACTAATACTTGCAAACCTTTTGCTCTTTTCACCCTTGGCTTCACTAAAAGTCTTTCTCCAGATTCAAAACTTCAACATTATAGGCAACTCCAAAAACTCATACCCATTTTAATGGCTACCTTCTCTTCCTTGCTCAACAGAGTGAGGGAAGGCTTCACACTTTTAACTCCACCAACTGATTTTCTTCCAACAATGTCCCAAGGTCCCTTAAAGTCCAAGGGGTGCAGGTCTGTTAGTATTTGCTCTGATCGTATTGGCAACAGGGGCAGGGGTTCTCTCCTGGGTATCTGTGTTTCCAGGGCCCATCTTCCTGTGTTCACAGTGTCCCAGTGGCTGGGGATAGACACCTCTCTGACTCTGGCAGGCTTCACCATCTGTCCCTTTTAATCTAGTTTTTCTCCCTTCTCTTTTGACCCCACTCTCTTGCTTCTTTCTCCTTGCAACAGGAAGATTTCTCTGGTATTCTTTCCCTCTATCAGCTTCTTCTCTGGGAACCATCAACCTTTTCCATTTATTAGTCTATGAATTCTCTAACCAAATTTACTCCCATCCAGAAGGGAGGACCTTTTTTCTCCTTCCTCACCTCAGCCACTCTCCTGCCTCTACCACTCATTTATGGCACTGGTTCTTAACCTTGGGTTACTCAGGAGTTTTGGACTGCAACTCCCAGAAGCCTTCACCACCAGCTGTCCTGACTGGGGTTTCTGGGAGCTGCAGTTCAAAAGCATCCGAGTAACAAAGGTTAAGAACCACTGATTTATGGGATCCTCCCTTATATATCCCTTCCCCACCTTCTACCTTCTATCCCATCTATTCTAATGGTTTAGAGTCCCTCTGTATTTGTTTTTCCCACTGCTTTAGCCACCTCCTTCTTTTCCTGTTCTTCTCAAGTGGGTGTTGTCTCTTTCCTTTCTGTGAGAATGGGTGGCACTTGGACAGGAGAAATTTCTATTCTGCCTCTTTCCTCAGTCATAATCCAATGTATACTTCTGAACTTCTAATGAAATAGAGTCACAGAGTCCTTCAACATGAAAGGCAGTTGTAGTGAAATGCCAAAAGGTGCTGTCATTCCTGCCTGTCCATCACAGAAGCTCAAGGGGGAGGAGCCAAGGATAGGGCAGGAGGGGCAGAGCTAGTTAGACAGTTAGGACAGTTAGAGAGAGACAGTTGGAGATGTGGAATGGCAGTTAGAGTGAGGGTTTAGGAGAACGAAGGAGAGGGTTAGTGAACTGAGCTGAGAGTGTTAGGAGGGGGAATGGTGAAGTTTAAAGAATATTGAACTAACAGGAATGAAAGCATAAGCACTACAAGAGAGATATCGATTGAAAGTATATAGCAGTTTGGAATAGAAGTGATTGCCTACTTTATCCAATACGTGTTAATACCTGAAACAGTTCCTATGTGATTTACCTTTATGATTTGTTTGACAATAAAAGAATACTTAATTAAACCTATAATTCCTAAGTTCTATAACCCTTAGTGTTGACAGCACACGTGTATGACATAAATTGGTATTAGGAGAATACCTGGTGGCAGCGTGAAAGAGTGTGATCCTTTGTGAGGGCCAAGTAAATAGGGGCGACAAAGGGTAGATCGCCACAGCAGTCTCTCCCAAGCTCCTTATATTCAGTTAAAAAAAGACAACCTTTTTTTGTTATTTGTATCTGTTAAGAATATAAGAACAATTTCACAATGGAACCAATTGTTTAGTTGGCAAGACTCTCCCTTTGTGGTGATTTTCAACCCAACATTCCAGCATTCTGTATGGCCACACAATTGCCTATGGGATGCCCACCAGCAAAATATGAGTTTGACAGCACCATCCCTGACAACCCACATTTGAAAGTGTACTATCTCTAATTATGAAGATAAATATATAGCAGCTGGACTAGCAGACATTTATAGTACCATCTGCCATGAATTTGCTGAAATCTTTTTAGAGTTCCAAATTAGTGGGAAATTTCATAGTCTAACTAGTTGTTCATTTATTTATTTATTTAACGTATATGCCGCCCTCTCTACCCCAAGGTCTCTGGGCGGCTTACAACAATTAAAATTCAATTAAAATACAATAAAAGATAAAATGATTAAAATACAATTAAAATGGTCATCAGGACCCACCGTTGATGTTATTTCAATTACTAAAAGCCTTCTGGAACAGGAAGGTTTTGACTTGGCGCCGAAATGTCGACAGCGCCAGACGAATTTCAGTCGGGAGGGCATTCTATACTTGTACGTACTTCCATTGACCTATCCTGAATCGCCTCTGGAATAACCTTCCTCTGGAGATTCATGCGGCCCCTTCGCTGGGCATCTTCAAAACCAATTGAAAACTTGGATGTTTACGCAGGCCTTCCCTTGAGCTAATACTTCATTTTTTTCTCTTTTCCCATCTTGAATAACTTGTCTATTGATGTTAAAAAATTGTTTTATTTTATATGTTGTTATATATGTTGGAATCCGCCTAGAGTGGTTGTTCGACTAGGTATAAATGCAACCAACCAACCAACCAATCAATGTCTCATCATTCAGCTTCAGATGTATTCGTAAGAAATGCTACCCTTCCAGGCTTTCTCCTTCAGGTACAGATTGTGACATGGTACAGTGAGAAACAGGTTTAGGACTAGTGTGTTGCCAGGAACATGAGTTCCAAGTACACAGATGCCATGGAACAGAGTGAGCAAGCAAGCACACTTAAATTATCTATAATACTACACGTTGATGGATTGCTCTCAATCATTTTGAATGTAATGTTTTCTGTGGCAGACTCTGCAGTGGAACGAAATGAGTGACACAATGACTAAAGAGGTCACAGCCTAATGCCTGACCTTTCTGGAAGTCATTAACTGATAGGATCGCCCTAAGTCGTAAATAACTTGACAGCCCATAACAACAATCACATGCACACGTGGATTCCATGGTAGTGCAGAATGTGATGGACAGTTATACTCCAGTCCCCTGAGTTTTATGTGACCTACGACGTGATTTGGGACGTACTCCTTGCAAAACCAAGAGAATCCTGCTCTGATCAAAATTTTGCTTTCTTCCTTTTATCGGGGTCATGGCCACGACGGAGCAAAGGAACCCTTCTTATACGCCTCCTCTCGAGGAAAAACGCACGGCTCCCCGGAATCAAGGCGCAGCGCTTCGTCCCCCACGACTGCCTGGGTCTTGCTCCCCGGCGGGAAGCCTCTTTCTGTGCCTCTCCTTTGCGTCACTGACGCGATTGGCCACTTCGGCGGCTGCTCGCCTTGCCTCACCTCGCCTCCCTCCTTTACGACATTGAAGTTCCTAAGCTCCCGGGTTCTAGGAAAGGGGAGAAGAGGGCGGAAGGGCCGAAAAGCGACGCTTGCCCATTCTTGGCCGCGCCCACCCTTCACCGGAACCGGATCGCCCTCAGCGCCACTGGGCGGGGCTGTCAGTCTTGCCTGCTCCTCTCTTCGTGTGGGAGGCAGTTCACGGAGGGGAGGCGAGGGAGCCGGCTGCCGGTGAGTTCTGAGGCGAAGACGTTTCCATTCCGTCTCTTTCTCTCTGACGAGCCGCGCTCCTTCCATGGCCTCGGAGGGGACCGGCGGCGGCGGCGGCGGCGGCTGTTCTCAGCCGGCGGCGAAGTAAACAAATGGCGGCGGGAGCAGTAGCGGCGGCGGCGGCGGGGGGGGCGGGCTTGCTCTGGGGCTGGTGTCTGCGCCGGGGATTCCCCGGCCTGCAGTGGGTGGTCATGGTGGAGCTTGTCCTCAGAGGGAGAGGAAGCGGCCGGTCCTTCTGTCGGCCTGCCCGCCCGCCCGCCTGCCTGGGCGGCCGTCCCTGCCTGACAGCTGGTCGTCTCCTTTATGAGGTGGCACAGGAGTTGCCGCAGCTGCTCCGCCGGGGAGACACTCGCCTTCTTTTCGGTGTCTTTCTTTCTTCTTCGTCCGTCTGCGGGCTCTTTCCAGCGAGCTTCGCGCGGAAGGCCGACCCACGGAGGTGCGGTGTCGCCCGGGGGCCCCTTTCTTCGCGCCCCCCCCCCGCCTTTCCTTTCGATGTGGAAGGAAACAATGGCAGCGGCGTGGACGGAGAGGAACAGGGGCCGCCTCTTTTCTCCAGCCCGGTGCTGATTCATTAGTACATTTTCCACTGCAGTCATCTGGGGAGGTGTGCAAACAGACGCCCAGCTCCCGCGGGTCAAATAATGCCCTGTTGTGCGTGGCGCTGGGACAGACAGCTGCTGCCAGTCATTGCCCGGGTCTCTTCTGTCTCTCTCCCCCCCCCTTGCAAGGTGTGAAATTGTCTGGTAGAGAGAGGGGTGTCACTGGGCTCAGCGCAGGGGATTTCCTGCCTTCGTTTATGGGTATGTACAAAAGGGAAAGAGAAAAAAAA